CTATAGTTTCTGTGTAATTCTGATAAAAATTCCAGCGGGTTTATTGTGAGTGTGCATGGAAATTGACAAGCTGATTCTAAATTTTATATGAAAATGTTAAGGGGCAAAAAGAACCAAGACAATCTTGAAGAAGAACAAAGTTGGAAGACTTTCCCTATTTGATATCAAGACTCATTATAAAATAAAGTAATAGTATACAATAAGATAATGTCACAAGGATAAACAAATAGACCAGTGGAACAGAATCCAAGATCCAGAAACTGACCTATAGATATATGGTCAGTTGATTTACAGCAAGGGTGACAATGTAACACAATAAGAGAAATAATATTATTTTCAATAAATAGCGTGGGGTCAGTTGGCTATCTAGATGTAAAAAAATTAATATCAACCTCTATTTTTTTAAAAACTATATATACAAAAAAAGAATTCAAGATGGATTATAGTTCTAAATTTGAAAAATATAAAAATAAAGCTTCTAAAAAATCACAGGAAAATATATGATTTTGGACAAAGCAAATATTTCTTAAGCAGGTCACACAGAGTAATAACTATAAGGAAAAAATAAGAGATTTAAACTTTAAGGAAATCGAGGACATCTGCTTATCAAAAACATCATTAAGAGAATGAAGCCAGGTGTGGTGGCTTATGCCTATAATCCCAGCACTTTGGGAGGCCGAGGTGGCTGGATCACCTGAGGTGAGGAGTTTGAGAACAGTCTGGCCAACATGGTGAAACCCCATCTCTACTAAAAATACAAAAAATTAGCCAGGCATGGTGGTGGGCACTGGAAATCCCAGTTATTCAGGAGGCTGAAGCAGGAGAATTGCTTGAACCCAGGAGACAGAGGTTGCAGTGAGCCGAGATCTCGCTATTGCACTCCAGCCTGGGCAACAGAGTGAGACTCCATCTCAAAAAAGGAAGGAAAAAGAAAAGAGTGAAAAGGCAAGCTAAAGAATGGGCGAAGATATTTGCAATATATTTATGGTCACAATGATTTATATTTCAAATACAAATCTATAAATCAAGTATCAACTATAAATCAGTAAGAAAAGTACAGATGACCCATTAGAAAAAATGAGCAAAATACTTGAATAGACACTTCATAAAAGCAGGTATTAAATTGCCGCAATAATTATGAGAAAGTACGCTCTCATTCATCATCCTAGAAATGCAAATTCAAGGCCGGGCGTGGTGGCTCACGCCTGTAATCCCAGTGCTTTGGGAGGCCGAGGTGGGCAGATCACAGTCTCGATTAAGAGATGGAGACCATCCTGGCCAACATGGTGAAACCCCATCTCTACTAAAAATACAAAAATTAGCTGGGTGTGGTAGCACACACCTGTAGTCCCAGCTACTCGGGAGGCTGAGGCAGGAGAACCACTTGAACCTGGGAGGCAGAGGTTGCGGTGAGCCGAGATCATGCCACTGCACTCCAGCCTGGCAACAGAGTGAGACTCCATCTCAAGAAAAAAAAAAGAAAGAAAGAAAGAAATGCAAATCCAACGAGAGTGATTAAAATAAGCCTGAGGAAAAGACAATGCAAATTGTTGGGGAGGATGTGGAGCAATTAGAATGCTCCTACACTGTTGTCATTGCTGTTGGACTTTTTTTTCTTTTTTCTTTTTTTTGATACAGGGTCTCGCTTTGTTGCCTGGGCTGGAATGCACTAGTGTGATCACAGCTCACTGCAGCCTCCATTTCCTGGACTCAAGTGATCCTTCTATCACAGCTTCCTGAGTAGTTGGAACTACAGGTGCACACCACCATGCCCAGCTAATATTTTAATTTTTTGTAGAGATGGAGTCTCACTATATTGCCCAGGCTGGTCTCAAACTCCTGGCCTCAAGCAATCCTCCTGCCTTGGCTTCCCAAAGTGTTGGAATTACAGGCATGAGCCACAGTGCCTGGCCCATATGCTGTTATTTAAAATGAACAACCACTCTGAAAATCTGTTTAGCAGTATTCTCCAAATCTGAGTTTATACATACCTAAATTCAATAATTTGTATCTTAAATATTTGTCCAACATAAATATCTTATGTTCAACAAAAAGTCACATACCAGAATGTTCTAAGCAGCACTTTTCACCAACATCCAAAAACTGAGAATCACACAAATGTCCTGGATGAACTTTCAAACCCAAGTGCCCTGGTTCCCAAAACCAGCGTGTACACCCCCATCCCCAGGGAATACACCACATCAGTCATGCACTTGAAGCTCTGACTTCCAGTTTCCTCTTCATTTGGCCCCTACAGATTTGCTTTACTTTCTTATGAGCTCAGTTTTGCATGAAAGAGGCTGCATGTGACTGTTCATTCAGAATGTCAGGAGGTTTTGCAGCAGAAGTATTACGAGGTTACATAGTTCCTGATATACCTCATCATCTTTCCATGGCCCCGTCTAGCTGTGAAGATTCTTCCTGGCCCTGGTTTTGCAGACTAAAGATACTATTTTGTTGTAAAGTGGAGAGAGCAGAGAGGAAAAGAGGAGATACTTTTACTTAACACCCAAGGATCGGGGGAGCATGGTTGGGGTAGTGTCTCTCCCCTAGTTCATCTGCTGAGAGGCTGCAGTGAACCCTGTCCACATCCCACTGGAGAACCAAAGCCCTGCCTGGCTGGAAATCAACACCCTGGCTGTCCTAAGGGCTCATCTCTGGTTCGATGAGGTTGACAACTATTTCTGGAGCCTCCCATCACTCAGCTGAGCAGCTGTCCCCCTCCCTCAGTTCTCTGGGTGGCTCTGGGCAGGGCTGGAATCCAGCTGCCCGGCACCCCTGACTGTGCTGAAAGGGTTGAGCCTGGAGAGTCCCTCTCACCTTCTGCTTTGCCCCTGGATCCTGTATGGATGCCCTTGAAGGTCACGCCTCTCTCTGATAGAGAACCCAGTTTAATCGCCAGGTGCTGCTTGGACTTCTTGTGTCCTAATTTTCAAATATCCCACAAGGCCCCAAGCCACATGTTAACAGGCAGGGAAAACAGTAGCTCCTCTTGAGTGCTGCTCATGGCCCCAGAGGCCAGGATGCTCAGTTTTCTGCTGACCACTTCTTTGTGGTTGAGTAAAAAGGCTTTCACATTTCGGGATAGAACTGAGGTTCCTTAGGATCTACTGTCGTCTTCAGCCTGTGACTAAAGAACAAGGGCTGGTGAACAGAGAGACGCTCAGGTCATAATAACTAAAAGAGATAACAGTGATGAAGTGTCCTACATGCCAGGCACGGTACACAGGGCTTTACATGGTTAGCTCATTTAATTCTCAAAACAACCTGAAAGATGGAGATATAGACAGACATACATATGTATATATGTGTATATATACACATATATTATAAATAAATATATATTATAAATAATGTATAATTATATATTATATATAACCCCATTTGTGATTATTATAATCTTATATAATTATATATACACATTTATTATAAATAAATACATAATTATATGTTCTATATATATTTTAATATATATATATAAAAAATTCCCATTTTTTTGATGAGCAACTGAGTCTGCAAGAGGTATGTGACTTGCTCCAAGTGACACAGTTAAGTGACAAAGCCAGGATCGAGCCCCAGAAAATCTGGCTCACATCCTTGACCGTGGTTCTAGATGTGATCTTCTGTCACTGATCCCAGACTCTACGTCACCTCTAGTGCATGCCAGGCACTGCCCCTGGCAGACCCTTTCCACCCTTCCTGCCTTGCTGTCTCAGCGGACCCTGCAGTGGGTGTGTCAGCGGGACAGGTTCAGAGAACGCCTCCTTGGCAGGATCTCAAAGAGCCCCTCCTCATTTCCCTCTTCCACCAACGTGTCCCTCTCCCTGCCCTTGTAGCTGGGGTCTCCTGTGTGCCTGGGCCTTTCTGTCTCCTTCCTATTTACTTTGCCTGGCAACTACTATAACTATTCTTACCTGGCTCTGACCCACACAAACCTAGACCAATCCCCCTATTCCCCTCTCCGCCTCCTAAAGAGTAGGGTGCCCAGCTGGACCATAACCCAGCTGCCTCGGGCCAGGGTCGAGGGGCATCCACTTGGCTCTTCCTTCACTGGGAACGCCAGACCAGGAATGGCCCCCCTTTCCTTAAGGAGGAATGGTTTCTCTGAGCGGAAATGGTACGTGTTCCGCAGGCACTAACCATCTTCAGTGGTTGTGGTTTAAAACTCAGAATAAGAAAGCCACCTTCAAAGAAGGCATGCCACACATTTCCTGTTTAGGAGCTCAGGCTAGACTAGATGAGTGGCTCACACCTGTAGTCCCAACACTGGGAAGCTGAGGCGAGTGGACGGCCTTCAGCCCAGGAGTTTGAAACCAGCCTGGGTAACACAGTAAAACCCCATCTCTACCAAAAAAAAAAAAAAAAATAGCTGGGTGTGGTGGCACTCACCTGACTCACCTGTACTCCCAACTACTCAGGAAGCTGAGGTGGGAGGATCACTTGAGTCCGGGAGACGGAGGCTGCAGTGAGCCATGATCATACCACTGCACTACAGCTTGGCCAACAGAGTAAAACGGGGCTCAAAAAAAAAAAAAAAAAAAAAAAGAGCTCGGCCTTAATCAGGCATCAGATTTAGTTCTTGCTTAATGGCCCAGAGCAGCATAAAGCATGAAGCGTGACAGAGATGTCAAAAGCAGGCCTGGCAGAGTCATCTTCCCGGGCGCCTATGGGACATCCTTCACCCTGGCCAGGCCTCAAATTCAGTTCCAGGTCTTGACCACCACCAAAGCCCTGCAGTCAGCCAAAGGTTCCTGCCAGCCAGTTTTGTTCAGATATCTACTTTTTTTCCCCCTAAACGACCCCCCAAAAATAAACAGACTGACTCTTCAGTTAAGGAGGGACATCAGTCCACTGCAAGGCCCCGACGCCAAGGGCTAATTTTAGGAAAGGAGGGAAACACATATCACAATATGTGATATGTGTGATATGTGCCCCAGACCAAACACCCCTGGGACAGGAGTGTGAACAGCGCCTAGAACCACCCTACCCTGGAGGTTCACCTCTGTGCGGCCTTTGGCCATCCATCCGGAGCCGCCCTGATTCTCCACAGGGAGAGCGGGGAATTACAGTTCCCGTCCCTGCTGGGCGGAACCAGATAACATCTTAAAGGTCCTTCCTACTGGGACTCACTCCATCCTGGTAATATCTGCCATTGAATAAACACCATGGCCAGCCATGGAGATGCGTGATCATACTCAGGCACCCCAGCAACCCAGCCAGACTGTTCTTATGAACACCCTTTTCAGAAATGGGGACAGTCACGTGCCAAGATGCCAAAGAGGGTTGGGGGAAGAGAAAGGGTTTGGGTCCAGGTCTGTCTAACTGAAAGACTGCCTCTGGCACTTCCCCAGCTCACGACGCCTGCTGCCTCTTGACAGGAAGTCAAAGGCACAGGCAGATGGGGCTCTGGTGGAGCCCTGCCCAGAAAATGGCCACTTCCGGAACAAAACTGCCACAGCAACAGGCCTCGTCAACAGCAGCCTCCAACTGTTAACCACAGGGCCGTCTCACCTCTAGAAATCAGCTCCCTCTTGTCCACGCATCCCTACACACAAACACTAACTCCATCACCCAGGAGACCACGGAACAAAGGCAACGAGAGAGAGGGACAGAATGGGGCATAAATAAGGTGCTGGACGGGCAGACAGGAAAGAAACACTTCAAGGCAGAGCACACCAGGATGTATTAGAAAGGAATATTTGACATGCAGGCTTTTAGATGAAGCCTACACTCCTTATGTGGGGAGTATACACAAATGAGTCTGTATTTTCAAATACGTCACATGCACCGCCTTGTAACCCAAAACAGTATTTGTGCTTCAGGGGCTGCACTGCGCTGTTTTATACACAGAATCACCTGGCACAGCTCCTGTCCCTGAGATGCAAATTACTGTTCTCATGTGGCAGGGAAGGGGTCGAGAGGAGGCGAGGGGGAGGGGAGCAAGTGTGCTCTGCAGGCCACACTCAGGCACTGACATCGCTGGGCATGATAGGCGCCGCCAGCACTGTTGCTTAGCAACCCAATACCCTTCGAGAAAATCCAGCAGCCTCACTGGCTTGCAGAAGCAGGCAGAGCTGGTTCAGCATGGCATTGGGCATGGAAAGATAATCATAGGGGGTTTTTTCCAGTTATTAATAATCATTCTTCCTGATTTCCCATACAGATCACCATACCTGAGGGGACCCAAAGTCACCCACTACACTGGGGCTGGAAAAAGCCCAGGGTTTTTCAATTGCCTCCCAATCGGCTTCGGAGAGTAGTGGAATTTTACTGGCTGGCCCCATGACGCTCCTTCCAGCCCCGGCCCTCACCACAACACAAAGGCAGAGCTCCACGGTGTGACTCACCAGCATACCTTCAGACCGTTGTTTGTCAGCCCATGTCATGAGTCATGGTTTCTTCAGCTTTCTTTTTTCTCAAGACTGAAACACTTGACATTTTAGAATAGGGTTGGGGGGAGGCTTTTCATTTTTTTTTGAGCCACTCTGTGGCTTTGTGTGCAAGTGTAGGGGAATGTGGGAAGAGGTGAGTAATGGATGCAAGAACAGGTAAACATGAGCAAGGTTCTCCATGCTGTCAGCCACCTGGGAAGCCATCAGAGCTCGAGGAAGTTGTCATTTGTGTCGTGGAGGAATGGGAATGCTCCTGGGCTGTATATCTTGGGAGAGACAAGGTGCTGGACAGCTTTCCGCCCTCCATCCGTTGCATCCCAGCAGTGTCATGCTCCCTCTATTCCCACACACAAAGAGGTCGGCTTCATTTTGTGCCGCGTGATAACAGCACCACGTAAGGCTTTAAGAAAAATCCTGCAGGAGTTACAAGAAACAAAATACACTGCGATGTAAGATGAGAAAACAGAAGTGGACTTGCCACATGGAAACTGTGCTGGGCCGGACGGTTGGTTGGTGGGTCCCTGGCTTTGGATTCTGATTCTGACATAAATCGGGTGGGTGATGAGCTTCTGCTTATTTGCATGGCTCAGCACAACTTTCCTCCTCTCTATGAAGCCCTCAACCTCCAAATTTATCCACTTAGACAGCACAGTCTTTCCCCTAGAGTGTGAACCCCTCAAAGTCGGCATCACTTTATAAATCTCTTTATGGTATCAACCGAGCGCATATCAAATACATACTAGATGTTCACTCATGCTTCCCGTCTGTATGGAGAGATGGAGAAACGAAAATTAACTAACTAAATCCAATTCACGTTTTGGAATCCTTATTTGTTCCCATGCTTTACAGGATAGATTCAATATACCCTGTCAAGTCCCAGGAAAGTAGTGAAGACGTAGGAATGGATACAACAGAAAACATTTTCAATGTTACACAATTCGAAATGCCATGATGTTATAAAGCATTCTTAGAAAAGGTAATAGTTGACCAGGCATGGTGGCTCACTCCTATAATCCCAGCACTTTGGGAGGCCGAGGTGGGGGGATCACCTGAGGTCATGAACTCGAGACCAGCCTGGCCAAAAGGGTGAAACTCCATCTCTACTAAAAATACAAAAATTCCCTGGGCGTGGTGGCAGGCACCTGTAATCCCAGCTACACGGGAGGCTGAGGCAGAAGAATTGCTTGAACCTGGGAGGTGGAGGTTGCAGTGAGCTGAGATCGCGCCACTGTACTCCAGCCTAGGTGACAGAGTGAAACTCTGTCTCAAAAAATTTAAAAAGAAAGAAAGAAAGAAAAGGTAATAACTATCAGAAGCCTCCCCACAGTCAGGGATGAGGACCAATTCTATACATAGGTAAATTAGGGAAGGGGAAAGTTAGAACTAATACAAAATACTTCCCCTGTCAGATTGAGGTAGTGTCTGAAATTTCCACAATATTTGCTTCTTTAGATTAAGATACTGAAGACCCATGTCAAAATATAAATGTTCTCTAGCCACAGCAATGTATTAATCCATTATTAACCTCAAGTGCATTTGCTGAATTTATTAAATCCGCTCCCAGAGTGTAAGAGACCTAGGGATTGAGACTTGAAGCACGTAATTATGTTTTTACTTTTTATTATGGAAATGTCCAAACGTGTACAAAACTTGAAGTAATAGTATAATCAAGCCCTATGTGCTCATCAGCTAGCTTCAACAATTATCATCCTATCACCAACCCTGTCTTATCTACTTCCCCCCAAAACACACACACTGGATTATTTTGAAACAAATCCAAAACTTCACAGCATTTCATTCATACATATTGCAGTATATAACTCTAAAATATAAAGACTGACTTTTTTTTTTTTGGAGACAGGACTCACTATATTGTTCAGGCTGGTCTCAAAGTCCTGATCTCAAGCAATCCTCCCATGTAGCTGGAATTACAGTCCTGAGCTACCGCACCAAGCTAAAAACATCAAGACTTTTAAAAAACATAACCACAATACCAGTACCACACCTGAAAAAAAAAAGTTTCTTTATTTTTTTTCTTTATTTTTATTTTTATTTTTTTTTCGAGACAGAGTCTCGCTCTGTTGCCAAGGCTAGAGTGCAATGGCACAATCTTGGCTCACTGCAACCTCCACTTTCCGGGTTCCAGCAATTCTCCTGCCTCAGCCTCCCAAATAGCTGGAACTACAGGCATGCGCCAACGTGCCCAGCTAATTTTTGTTATTTTTAGTAGAGACGGGATTTCACCCTGTTGGCCAGTCTGGTCTCAAACTCCCGACCTCAGGCGATCCAAAGTGCTGGGATTACAGGCGTGAGCCACCACACCCGGCCAACAGTTTCTTAATATCAGCAAATATCTGGTCAGTAGTCAATATTCAAATATCCTTGTTAAAACATTTCAGGGGTTGTTTTTAAATTAATGAATTTGAATTATTAGAGCAGTTTTAGGTTCACAGCAAAATTGAGCAGAAAGTACTCCTCCCATATGCCCCCTGCACCCAGACACGCACCACCTCCCCCACCACCAGAGGACAACCTTTGTCACAATCAATGAACCTACACTGACACATCATTATCACCCAGCGTCTGTAGTTTACATTGGAGTTCATTCTTGGTGTTGTATACCCTATGGTTTGGACAAATGTATCATGATATGGATCCACCATTACAGAACCATACAGAATAGTTTGATGACCCCCCAAATTCTCCATGCTCTGCCTGTTGATCTTGCCCTCCCTCCAACCCCTGTCAACCACTGATCTCCATCGTTTTGCCTTTTCTAAAATGCCATATAGTTGGAATCATACCTAACCTTTTCAGACTGATTTCTTTCACTTTGTAATCAGCATTTACATTTCCTTCATGTCTTTTCATGGCTTGACAGTTCATTTCCTTTTAGTACTGAATAATATTCCACTGTCTGGATGTACCACAGTGTGTTTATCCATTCGCCTACTGGAGGACATCTTTGTTGCTTCCAAGTTTTGACAACTATGAGTAAAGCAGTTATAAAATCTTGTGTAGGTTTCTGTGTGGATATGTTTTCAACTCATTTGGGTAAATACCAAGGAGTATAATTGCTGGATCATGTGGTAAGAGTATGTTAGTTTTGTAAGAAACTGCCAAAGTGTCTTCCAAAGTGTCTGTATCATTTTGCATTCTCAGCAGCAAAGAATGAGAGTTCTTGTTCCACTTCCTCGCCAGCATTTGGTGTTGTCAGTGTTTGAATTTTGGCCTTTGTGATAGGTATGTAGCTGTATCTTTTGTCATTTTTATTTGCAATTCCCTAACAATAAATGATGTTGAACATCTTTTCATATGCTTATTTGCTATCCATGTATCTTCTTTGGTGAGGTGTCTGTTCAAATCTTTTGCCCATTTTTAAATTGAACTGCTCGTTTTCACTTTTTCTCTTTTTTTTTTTCCTTGAGACAGGGTCTTGCTCTATTGCCCAGGCTGGAGTGCAGTGGTGTGATGTCAGCTCATTGCAGTCTCCACCTCCTGGGCTCAAACAATTCTCCCACCTCAGCCTCCTGAGTAGCTGGGACTACAGGTGCACACCACCATGATTTGGAGTTTTTTTGTTTGTTTGTTTATTTGTTTGGTAGAGATGGGGTTTCGCCACATTGCCTAGGCTGGTCTCAAATGCCTGGACTCAAGTGATCCACCTGCCTCGGCCTCCCAATGTGATGGGATTACAGGTGTAAGCCACTGCACCTGGCCTGGACTGTTCCTTTTCTTATTGTTGAGTTTTAACAGTACAGTTCTGAGGTTAAAGTGGTCAGATTCAGAACATGGCCAGAGCTGGTCCTAAGAGTATGCCCAAGGAAAGACAGGATGCGAATTTCACCTGTTTCACTGTTTTGCTTTCTGTTTCACAGTTGTTGAGAGCAGTCCATGCATGAGGTAGGACATAGATGTGGAATTCAAAACATGAATTTATCTTCCTATCAGCCAATGACGCACAACAGCTTCCCCTAGTTGTTATAGAATAACAAAGAGCTGGGTTTTCTTAACCTGGCAGTAGCAGGACTTGATTATTTAATCCCATTGTCAGCTCTACCTGATCATGGATAAGCTAGATATCCTTGTCTGAGCCTCAGTTTCCTTGTAAAATGGAGGTAATTAAAGGACCTACCTCATACAGCTCTTAAGAGAATTAAAGAGGATAATGAATGTAAAGCACTTAGGAAAGCTCTTGGCACGGTACACTCATAATGAAAAGGAATTATTGTATTGTTAGTTCCCAGTCTCCCTGGAAACCAAAGCTGTGGGCAAGCTGATGCTTGATGAAGATCCTAATGGCCAATCATTGCCTCTCCTCTGCTTGACAAAACACTGAATTCGAAATGTTTCAAGCTAGTGTTCTCAATAAGTTTCAGACCACCTGCATTCAAATCATAGCAAGCAATGATTTAAAATGTGGATCACTGGCTGGGGGTGGTGGCTCATGCCTGTAATCCCAGCACTTTGGGAGGCCAAGGCAGGTGGATCGTTTGAGGTCAGGAGTTCAAGACCAGCTTGGCCAACATGGTGAGACCAAGTCTTTACTAAAAATACAAAAATTAGCCAGGCATGGTGGCGCACACCTGTAATCCCAGCTACTCCAGAGGCTGAGGCAGGAGAATTGCTTGAACCCAGGAGGCGGAGATTACAGTGAGCCAAAATCATGCCACTGCACTCCAGCTTAGGCAACTCCATCTTAAAAAAAAAAAAATGTGGATTACTAAGACCTGGACAATTCTTACGAACACTGACATTTGAAAACTTTGGCCTTAAGCTTGCCTTACTGGTTGTGGAATGCCTTACTCAACCAGAGAGAAACTGTGGTGCCCGAAAGTGTAGCAGAGGGGGCCCGGAACCTGGGATCATGAGGCTAGCAGTGGACCGCGGCC